TAGAGGGTTCTCAACCATTTGCCAAAATGTGAACCCATCACGAGAAAAGTGTTTGTTGATTACATTTTGTTCAATGCACGTGGTGGTCATTAGTTGAACATCGAATCTTCACCAACAGCATCAACCGAACGCCGAGTACTGCAGACAACATGCRTCAMAGACGCTACATGTGGTGGAYAGAAAACACGTGTCATGAAAAGACGGACAGCAGCTCGACGCACGACGGCGACCTCACACAAATAAATGAAAAAATACAAATATCTTATAATTTGAAGCAACACCGCGATCCAAAGCACATGCGAAACAGAGGGGTGTCGACCTGCTCCGCACCGCCACCCGACAATCTCCGAAAAACCCCTCCAACCCCTCTCCCCCCCTTCCCTTTTTCCCATCCCCATGCCCACGGATTTGCGCGGGAACACCGCTGCGGCAAGGACGACATCAATGAACAACGAAAAAAATAACAGCGACGTCACTGCCGATCACCTACAACAATTGAGCCGCTTCACCGCCGATCACCCACGACGAGGAGAAGCACACTACCGTCGACTACAACAACAAACACCTACAAACGAGCCGTCCGCCGCTGCAAACCCTGCGAGATAACTCTGCKCGTATTCRCGAATGAYGCAAGCGCTGCGACTCRACGACGGACGCACACRGCTTCTGTCTATGCACGCGAGGCGGAGTGGCGCGACACGCACRATCAGATGTGTTTCATCCGCTCCGCAAGGGCATTGCGGAGCGCGTGTGCGGCGTCCGTCGATGTCTGCATCGTCAATGGCTGCGGTGGACGATGAATCCCCAGGTCCACTCGCCGCCTCACCCCGTTCTCGTCGACCTCCCACAACAAGTTCTCGTCGAACTCGATCCCAGCATCGAGCAGGATGTTGTGGAGAATGCAGACGGTCGTGAACTGTTGCGGTAGAGTGTCCAAGTTCATCTTGTGCGACCGCAGGAAGAGCCTCCACATCCCCTTCAACCTCCCGAACGTCCTCTCCACAGCACCTCTAGCGACCTTCTGTTTGTTGTCGAACCTTTCCTCGTCCGGGTGCTGATTGATTCCTCCGTACGGCACCACTATCCATTCCGAAGGAGGATACCCGTTGTCGCCCAAGATGTATCCGTTCGTCCTCACCCCTCCCGGCAGCCTCACAGGCAGCCCGCGAAAAAGCGTTCCCTCTTTCGCGTGCCTCGACAGACTTGACAGCTGAATCACCCGAATGTCGTGGCAGCTGCCTGGGTAGCCAACGAAGACGTCAAGCACACGCAGATTCATGTCCACCACCACCTGCGCAACGACGGAGAAACGGTGCTTGCGGTCGAAGTAGTTCTCGCTCGGAGCGTTCGCCAGTTTGTCCACGTAGATGTGTGTGCAGTCAACTGCGCCATGGCAGTTGGGAAAGCCCTTGTCTTGAAACGCCCGTAGCACCACGTATTTACACACCCATGTCGGCCACGATATCTTGTCCCCGTAGACCCGCAGCAACGCGGCTGTCACATCGCGCACGGCTCGAACTCCGGATGCTCTGCCAATGTCGAACGATGATGTGTTGTTGTCGTACGACTCTCCTGTTGCCCACCTATACAGCGCGTACGCGACGATCTGATCTGGCTGAAGCGGCTCCCTGTAGAACGTGACCTGTCGTTGCAAATGAGGCGCACAGGCTTTGGTGATCTCCATGAACACTCTCCTCGACATGCAGAGTTTTTCCCGGAAGTAGTCATCCGTCGCGTCGTCGCACACCCGCAAATCCTCCCAAGTCCCGCCAGTTCTCCGCCTCATCCACCAACGTGGCGTCGCCCTGGGAAGCACACCGGAGCCGATTGCAGCGCACAGCTGAACCACGGCCTCCGAAGTCGTGATGCAGTCTGGGGCGTCCAACACCCTCTGCAGCAGAAGCCTGTGTCGCCACCTGGAAAGCGCTGCCTTCATGCGGTCCGCCGCCCTCTCCGCTTCGTATCGACGGACTACGGCAACGGCTGCCGCCGCAACAGCTGTCCTCTCCGTCGGCGACAGCACAGCATGCCCACCCCCATCACATCCCTCCATTCGCGCACGTCCACGAGGAAGAGCAACGTCCACCGCCACCCACCTGCGCGAATCAACGTCCACGGCGACGATCGAAAACGCCTACAACGAGGTGTGGAAGACAGGCGTGATGACAAAACGTACACCGCGATGGGAGCATTCGTCCTCCGTCCCTGAACCACGGAAGCGCCGCCCGCATGCACGTGGCGAGCGCAGGAGAGGAAACAGACGATTCGTTTTGCCCGCGACGAACACACTGCACACGGTGGCGGCGCGGTGCCGCTGAAGTACGAAACGCGACGTCAAGCCTGCGCGCCCGTCCCCCAGTCGACGTGCCCTTCCGCCTGTGCGCCGCCACACCGTCGTTCCGCGCGGAGAAATTTCGAATTTCGAAATTCGAACGGGGCCATTCCCGCGTTCGCAATTTTTTTTTTTCCACGGCCCGTGACGTTTTGCCGCCGTCCGGCTGGTGGACCAGCGCGCCTCGCACACGGACATCCCGAATCGGAGGTCGGACAACACCCTCGCAGCCGTCTATAATCTCATGAAACTGGCCGCGGGACGGCCCCGAGGATGCATCCTCGGGGCTACTCTCCGAGGACAGGTGGAACGACGCCTACAAAAATAAAAAAAAACTCCGAGGATTCGTCCTCGGAGCTCGAGGACGCTCCGAGGAGTGTCGAACGACGCCCTATGATGAAACGTCGGCAGTGGAAAGATGAAGAAGATGAAGTGTCAACAGTATGATGAAGGTTTTCCCGCAGCAGGGGGTTGTCCTTTTTTTTCAAATAGGTTTTCCCGCGGCCTCACCTTTGATTTTTTTTTAAGCAGGGGTAGCAGTCGGTGATATCGAGGACTGTGCCTCCCCTCCGGTCCCCTCCCCCTATGAACATCAGCAGTCTCTGCTCAATGCCAATCGGGGGGACCAACGGCATGATATCTCTAGGTGGCGGGCGCCAAGCTTGCCCAGGAAGGTGCATGAGGCCAATGGGGATTGAACCCAAGACCTCCTGAATGCCACTTGCGTGCCTTACCAACTCAGCTAGGCCGCTGGATACCTTTGATTTATTTTTTTTTATAGAGAGAATACTCCTTTCTATTGGTGGGGAGCTGCACCTGCTGGAAAACGGGTCCAGCGTCCCTGTAGTCTCAAAAAGACATTATGTGTATACAACTTCCGAGCTCTGAGGGAGGATCAGATCCTCCTTCTCGTCCCAAAGATGACGAGAGAATACCAACTGCTTGTTCTCTAGAAAACGAATCCACTGAAACTCTGAAGCCCATCGGCTGCAGATCAGCTTCTGGGCATCCTGGAACTGAAGAGAGCTGTTCTTGATTTTGTACCACTCAGCTAAGATCAAGTCCCTAACTGCAGCTTTGAAAKAGTTACGCACGCGGGCCGCAGGCCAMAATGAGTTACTGAACCTACRGTCCCTGYGGGCCAACCACAGGAYCCAGAAACCAATAATGCGGAATTTGTTCCCAATCTTTGATCTAGCARACGCRGCCTGATCCCCGAACAGGACCATGSTCTTAGTCCAGTATGACGATGAACTGTATGCTGCGAACCATAGACCGCTCAACCATTCCCAGAAACCCCTAGCAACCACGCACTCCCACCAGAGGTGGGAAGAGTCTTCCATTGATAGGTGGGGGCAGCCGTCACATTGTACCGAGATGTCCATTCCTTTGTCTGTGCACCAGACTGCAGTGGGCACGCAGTTGTGCATGTGTAGCCACTGTAGTCCCGCAAGTTTGAAGCTGCATTTGCTTGCACTGTCTGTTCCATGAGTCCCATACTCTGATTTGGAGTGACGACCCCTTGGAGTGAAGTTTGTAGCCAATTCGTGAAGAGTAGTCCTGCAGAAGTACTGTGGTGGCTGTTGTCGCTTCCGGGGAAGTATTCCAGCCTGTTCGCGTCACATCTGCTTTCCAGGTTTGAGTAGTCCGTACCATTCATTACTGGTATAAACTTGGTTCTGTCGTCCTTCCCACTCTCCTCCTTGACTCTTACTTCGCAGCAATGCTCCAAGTCGAGTGTCCGAGTAGGTGAGTCGGACCGTCGCAGTGACCCTTCGCTCAAATTCCATGAGGATACCTCCACCATCTGCATGGATCCCGG